TATGCCCGCGTCCATCACCTTTTGGAAGCGTACACTCCATATAAATTTTCTACTGAGAGTCCCTGACTCGTGGGTCCTACCACAAAGTTAGAGTTCTAATTCTTCTAGGATGGTATCTAACTTATGGCTAAGGGTCCACCCAGAAGGCAGTGTCTTCGGCTTCTACCTTCCTTTAGCTATTAGACACCAAAAACCAATCAATGCTGGAGGAACCAGTCCCCCTTTTTGGTGACCAAATGAATTGGCCATTGCAAGAAAAAAAAGGGTATTGTAGATGGAAGTGTGAAAACCCCTGATGGTGGAGGTAACTCTTGATATGTCCAGTTTTCACAAGGAAACCTACAAGCATTAAGAGCACCAACAAACTCCTAAAAGGATTACATAGATTGGAAAAAGAAACAGAGTTTCTGTAGCGCCCGGACCGAGGAGAGAAAAAAAAAAAAAAAGAAAAGCCACGTCGGCAGCCACGTCAGCAGGCCCGGTCAGCAGTCCCGGCCAACCGGGGCCTGCCACGTGGCAAGACCACGTCGCTCCTGAACGGGCCACGTTGGCGATCCGCGTGGGCGCGATCGGACGGCCCAGATCAATCGCGCGATCGGACGGCCCAGATTTAATCTCACGGACGGCCCAGATTTAATCAAAAACGGACGGCCCAGATTAAATCAAAATGGACGGCTGAGATCAAAGGGCAAGGGGTTATAAATAGAACCCCCACATCAGACCACAAACCCTAGCCGCCTGCCGCTCGCCGGAGAAGACGAACCAGAGGCCGACCGCCGCCACCCGCCGCCGCACCGGGAAATTTCCGACCGCCGATCGAGGTAAATTTCATACCCCCGACTCGTTTTTCCACGCTGATTCCTCCTATGGCCAAATCGAAGCCAAAATCCTGGCCAAACAGCCGGAATACGCGGCCGAAGACCAGCGGCGCCGCCGCACCCCCTCTCGGTTTTTGCCTCCGACGAGGCCCTTCCCGGCCTCCGTTTGATGCAATTTTTATATCACCGTGATCACCATTCTTTTCTCTACAGGTTGACCGGAGCCGAATCACCAAAACACGAACGTCGCCGGAGAGCCGCCTCACCCGAGAGCGCCGCCACCGGTAAGTTCCGTTTTTCCGTGATTTTTTGGCCCCCCGAGGGCCTTAGGGTTGTTTTCTCACAGGGACCGATGCGAGTGTGGCCGAATTCGGCCAAAAACGGCCGAAAACAGCCAACCCGAGGCGACTCGCCGCCGCCAGCAGCGGCGCCGTCGCCGGAGCACGGCGGAGCCGCCGTGCCAGAGTTGCGATTTGGGCCGAAAGAGGCCCTGGGCCTAATTTGGGTTTTTTTTGGAACACGTGCAGGTACCGTTAGTGTGTTTCAGTTCCCCGGGAAAAATTCAGGGAAAATTAGGGACGGCCTGTAGGCGCACTGTGAATCGTATTCGGATCCCAAAAACAAGTAAGGACCCCTCACCCTATTTCCTATCACGGTATTAAAGTTCAAAATGATAAAACGGTATTTCTTGAATTAACGCATGTGTGAAATTGCTTAAGGTTGCTAATGGAGCCCGAGTCTAGTGTGATTGATGATTTACTGTTATTTGGCCTGTTTTACAGCTTTAAATGCATTATGAGGTTTGATGTGTTCATTGTATAGTTTCGAGTGCATATATTACTGTTTTATTAATTATGGGTTGAAAGACTGAAGAACTGATACTGTGTGTTGTCTGTTTGGCATGAATTACGATTTGCTTTTTTTTAAATGTGAATTGATGATGCTTATTGAGGAAAAGGAAAATGAAAGATTGTGTAGACTGATAATTGTATGATGGGGTTAGCCTGACTAGATATCCTGGGAGATGGTGGACGGACCGGGTCCGTAGGGAACCCTACCGGGATTGTGGTCTCACATGCCGGACGGGGTATGGAGATCTTATGGTTTTGGCGCCCATACCGGACGGGGTATGGGGACGGCCCGTTTCACCCTCATACCGGACGGGGTATTGAGGTTTATGGTTTTGGCGCCCATATCGGACGGGGTATGGGGACGACCCGTTTCACCCTCATACCGGACGGGGTATTGAGGTTTATGGTTTTGGCGCCCATACCGGACGGGGTATGGGGACGGCCCTGGAAACTGATTATGAATGTTAAAGGTTAACGGGTAGCGGGACCCCTATGGACCCCCATGGATACTAGTAGGCTGGTAAATGAGAAAAGGATATGTTGTATAATGATTGAATTACAAAATGCGTGATAAGTGTTATGTTTTACAGCTTATATTATTCTATGATTGTGATAATGTTATTGTTTTCTTATATTGTTTCATGAATTCCACCGAGGTAAGTGGATGGTAAAGGTTTTATCATAAATAAAAAAGGATTTGTTATAAATCATGCTCCATTGGTCTTTTGTGTTTTTCTACCCACCTTTACCTCCGTGACGGTGAGATATCGTGATGTTCTTACTGGGTTAGTGTAGCTCACTCCTTATTTAACCATTTCAGATCAGGAAGACATGGTTCCCGAGCCCGTTCCGCAGGAGGACGACGAAGGGGATGTCTAGAGACTCTGTAGTCATACTCATAGTTTTATTTTCAAGTTTCTCTCTTAGTTAGTTTAATCTTTTATATTTTAAGTACGTTTTTGGTTTTCGTGTAAGGGATGTTAACTGAAATTTTGATCTCGCTTCCGCATTTAATCTTTATAATATAATTTCCATTTTGGATTACCGGGGCTGCTACAGTTTCCTCCCATGAGAAGGAATGAGGCCTAGGATGGTTTGGACCATGCACACAAGTAAACCACCGATTGCTCTTTATCTTTGATATTGAGCAAAACTGAGAAGAAAAAAAATCCTCAATGGAGTCAAATAGAGTCAACATGGGATGCACTTTAGTATTCCACATCAGTAACATCCCACTCAATGCCTCGAAGGAAGGACTAGCAATCCAATGTGTAAATCTAGAAACCAAACACTCTAAATCAACAAAGCATCTGCAAAATCATTCTTCGTCTTTTGAAACATGACAATATCCGGACACACCCTAGAGATCACCTCTTTAGCCTTTTTCCTCTCAAAAATACTCTGTAGACCATTCACGTTCAAACCAATTATCTCCATGATGGAATGTCTTCCGCTTTTACCTTTCAGCCTATCATAAAAATTGTGGATGGCGACTTCTGGAATTCTAATCTATTTCTATTCTTTTTCATCACATAGATACTAGGGGAGATTTCAACCTCACCTTAGCCGATGGGGCAACTAATTGGATTTGAAATTTTCTGTAGTAGCATTGGGATTCTCGTGTTCGAAACCTGTTGAAATAGGCTTTAAAGCAATAATTTTTAAGTGCCCAAGTGTATCACCAGTTACATTAGAGGATTAGGGTTCATCTCACAATCACCACCTTATAAAACAGCTGCGGAAAGAAAAAAAAAAAGATTAGGGTCTAAACAAGAAAAAGTTCCACGGAATTTTTTGGGAACACTAGGATCTTTCTTGTGCTTCAGTTTGTTTCTTTTATAACACTTCTCTTTCCTCTAAAAAGAAAACAAATCATTAAGTTCCCTCAACTTTGGTTGGGGTACAAAATTAAGATCCCTTCCTTTAGTTGTACAAATAATTAAGTTACCTTTGCCTTTGTGAGGGATACAAAATGTACAAATAACTTTCCCTTGGCCTTGACTAATTGGTAGAAAATAAGTTTTTGCTTTGATGGGGTACAAATTCATAATTATGTTACTGTAGACCAATTATCTTTGCCTTGGTGTGCCATTATGTTACTGTATATAAATTCTTGTGATCTGAAAAATCTTTTTCTAATCGGCAACTACTTTGCTAAGAGACTTCTAAACTATTTACGTAACATAAATATAAGTTAGATATCTCTCTTTTAGCAGGATTGTTGATCTGTTGCTGCCTCTCATTTGATGCTACTTAATTAGGGTAACATCCAGTAATTACTCTACCTACAGCATGCAAAAGTAGATCTTAACTTTATAACAGCGAAGCATGGCATTAATTGCAGGAGCCGACTGTAGTAAAACTTAGCCCAGGTAAATACCTTGCACAACTATCGTAATCTTTTTAAAAATAAAAAATAAAAAGTGTAAAGTATGTATTAAGAGGGTACCAAAAAAATAGGGGTACTACCCATGTACAAAATCATTTACAATGATGTTAGAATATCAATGACATTCCCAAAATTCACCTCACTATTAATGCATGATCTAACAAAATTGACCCAAAAGTATGTATCCACCTATCTTTTAGTCTAATTAAGCTACTCTCAACACCATCAAAAACTTTTCTATTCCTCTCTTTCCAAATGACGTAGAAAACGGTTAAAGAGATAATGCTTAACAATATTTTTTTTTACAAATAAACCATTCCAAGCCTAAATCTCCCCCTAAACTGACCCCCTAATAACCCAATCGATCCTTAGAAGACCATAAATCATACACCATAGACTATAAGTTGTAGGACACCACAATAACAGAGCACAACTATCATAGTCTTGTAGAATACGTACTGAAAATTCTATACAAGAATCTAACACCTGAGTTAATAAAGTAAATTTGTTTAATTACAAAGGACGCACATAATTGCTAGTATATCGAGTGCTAGTGTCATATATACAAGTTTTGATTAGGTCAAACACTTTTTTCATTGACATGATATGTACTAGTTTATCCGAATTCAATAGTGTCTATTAGATTGGTTTATGAATCGTGCTGTATATATTGATTAACATATGAGTAAGACATTGATTGATGAATTAAAATTCAATTGAGTAACATATGGTAAACAAACATAATGCTATTCATTAATTAAAACATTACATGAAGGATCTTGGAATAAGATCACATCTTATGCAGTTAATTTATGGGACACATTATTATTAACGATTATTTGGAAAATCGTGGAGGAAAAATTCTCTTGGCTGTCTTACCATGGTAACTATGGAAGAAGTGTGAAAACAAGATGTATTGAAACTTCTTTCATTTTGTTTCAGGTCAGCATTCGCTATGTCGGCAAAGTAAAGGAGAATGGAGAGGTTTTCTGTTCTAATATCTCCAAAGCTGCATTCAAATTTCAACTAGGTATCATCTTATTAGATTATAGATATCTTTGCTGTCAGTTCGAGATTTTATTTTTTCTTTACAAGAATGTTGCTTCTTGCAGGTGCAGGAGATGTCATAGAGGGTTGGAATGTCGGTATTGATGGTATCATCAATGACCTAGACTTTATCCTCTATGTTTCTTTTCAAATTAATCATCTAAGCCTATGTTTGGAATAAATTCAGAAATGATTTGTGTTCATTTACAAATCCAAACTTCATTTCACTAAGAGAAAGTTTAAATTGTATTTGAACAAAAAGAAAAAGTTGAGCATATGTGGAATTCTGTGTGGAATTAAAACTATATTTTGATTGGATTTGGAATGTATCATTCTAATTCCATATAAATTAAACTTTTGTCATTTTAAATAGGATTCTCATCATCTTTTAGTTGAGGTAAAGATGGATTTGTAAGTAAATTCCAGATATAGTCTAATTGCATCTCATGATGAATTTTATTTATTTTCTTTGAGAGAATTTCTAATTGTGCTTTTGTGATTTCTAGGTATGCGGGTTGGTGGTAAAAGTCGATTGACTGTTCCACCTATTTTGGGGTCTGCAAATCGCACTCCTTTTGTGTAAATAGGGATGCGTTCATAAGAACATATTTGCAATGTAATCTTTCTGAGCGTATCATGACTTGTCTCTTATTTATGTTTTGCAGTTATGGAAGTGAAGGAGCTGCCGGGATTGTACCACCAAATTCATGGCTTGTATTTGAATTTGAATTGGTTAAAGTCCGATAACTGTGTCTTCAATGGCTGTTGCTTCAGGGGCTTGATTAGTTGTTTTGGCCTTTTCCTAAATATCATACTTTGCAGAAGCAGTTTTGAACTTTTAGTTGGATAGCCACTAACAAATGTAAACTTATCATAGTGCAAACTTAATGAAGCAAGCGGAAAGAGCAATTTTGGGTATGCCTAAATTATCTAGAAATTGCATAAATTACCAAACATAA